CCATTAACTCTCAGTGACCCATCTGTTTTTGTACTAGAAAACAACCCAGGAAAGGAGTACTTTGAAATGAGCAGTCAGCAGGGATGGATGTGGTTGCTTCACTCTTTCCCAATCCTTGCTCAACCCACCTCATAATTTGCAAAACATTTGCATTACATGAAAATGAGGTTGGGCAGATGCATGGACCTGGGTCATGTTAACCCTACACGTGATGCCATCGCTTTGAGCTGAGCCATGCTCAAAAAGGGGAAGTGTGCGTAATAATTGTTTTTGCTCCCTTGAGTCCTGGGAATGCAGGAGACAGAGGTCAGCTTCTGACGTAAATCTGCAGAGCCTGAGGCCCTTTTCTAACCTGACCCCCCTCTTACACTCAGAGGTGGCTTTGGCCCAAATATAGTGGCATTTTTTGGTAGGGAAATCCTCCGTTTGCTGCTGCTTAGTCACCTGAGTGCCCCGAACAGCTTGAAACTGAATTACTGGGGTAAGCATCCCCCAAGTTTGGAGGCATTCAAAACAAACCCTGTCAAAGCAAGTCCTCTGCTAGGATACCTGCAGTATGTGTGTGTGTGTGTGTGTGTGTGTGTGTGTAGTGACACTGTGGCTCACAGGTTGTGTGTTATATCAAGCTCCAAGCTCTCCAAGCTGCATTGCTCTACTCCGGGAAGAGCAGTCCTTTTCGTCAGGTTGGTGGGCAGAGGATACAAGATTTTCAGTGGCAGCCTATTACCATGGGAAACACATCTGCATTCATTGGCTGGATCCAAAAATGGGGCCCAAAAACACTGGTGTTCTGAACGAGAGATTAACGAACATTTCTCTGATTGACTGCTGGTTTTTCACCAGCACTTTACTGAATTCCTGCTCTTTTTCTGGCTTATATTAATGAATTTTAAATATATCTCCAGGAATGTATTAACTTAGTTTGAACTTTGTAAACCATCTTGAGGGTGCTACAAGATAAATAAACCAACATAACTGGGTTAGTGAAACTGAGCAAACACTGGGCAACATTTAGCATGTGTTCATCCTGACCTTGACCTGACAATCCCAACGCTGAAACTTTCTCCAAGAAAGTCTAGACCTGCAACATTTCATGCCTCTCTGGCCACATTAGCTCACCTTGTATGGAGAGTGGAAGAGTTCCATGTCAACAGTCTTCCGTTTTTCCAGGTTTTTTCCCAGTGGTGCTGATGGGTGGATGCGGGATGGGATCTCCAGAGCAAAAAACTGTATGGATTTCGGAACTCCTGATTCCAGTGTCCCTGGCTGAAGGGTCTCATTCTGATCAGCTCCAGCCCTAGCCTAGTTTTGATGCTGGAACTAGGAAGACCAAATGGTGACCCTGAAAGGCTGGATCAGGCCGTGTGACTCCTGACCCCTGCTTTAAACAGAAGCATCCAAAACATAAAAGGGTAATTTTCAAAGAAAAGAAAAGAAAAGAAAAGAAAAGAAAAGAAAAGAAAAGAAAAGAAAAGAAAAGAACCAACGGGGGGGGGGGATGTTGTTGCAAGTGAGGTGAAGGGCCCACTGGCTTCACACCGGTTCTGTGCTAGTGACAATCTTAATTCACTTGGAAAAGAGCAATGGTACTTCCTAGTTTCAGATGCCTTCTTAGGCAACATCTTGGAACTGGTTTAAAGAAAGAGGCACTGGCTAGAAACAATCTTTGTTTGACAATTGTTGTTCAGTGAGAGTGTTTGAGAATATTTTGTTAGAGTTCCTGGGCTGTTGACAAAATACAGTCCCCAGGATTGCGAGCTGGGGGTGGATCATGGGCTTGAAACTTGTTTTCATTGGCAGTATTGCAGGCAGTGCTTTGATGTGTATGCCATTGCTGGACTAGCTCAGTATCATGGCCTTGTAAATTCTGTATTGTAAAATGGTAGTAAGCAATCAAAGTTCCCTTCTAGCAACTTACGCCGAGTGTTTGTTCATTTTGTCCCAACTGTTCTCCCAGCCACCTGCCTGTGAAAGGTCAGACACATGAACTTCTCCTCGTGCTAATTTTTAAAGCAGTAAATGGTACTGCTGTGACAGGACTGATAGCCTGCACAGTGTAGTGGTTGGAGGGTAGGACTGGGACCTGGGAGATCCAGGTTCTGGGCCCCAGTTGGTCACTAAGGTCTACCTTGCAGGGTTGTTGTGAGGAGCAGATTGAGAGGAGAGGAGGTATGTAAGCTGTCTTGTATTCCTGGAAGGAAAAAAGGTGGGATAAAGATATAATCAATCAACCAATCAATCGAGTTGTTGATCCCCTGAATGCAGCCATTTAGGTTCAAGTACCACAATCTAATGGCAGGTATGAGGCCCCAAGAAACAGAAGTATACTCCAGATTCATCAAACCATGATCATGCTGCGATTTGGAAGAAGTTTAAAAAGGAAGATTCCAGACGCTAGATTTTTTTTTTTTTTTAAAAATCAGGGCTGGAATGCAGATTACACTTTTATTCAACTGGTGTGACATATTGCAAAAGTAGAAGGGAGCTAAAGCACGGAACGCTGGCTGAGGTGGGGCACGGCAAGCGGGAAGGAGAAAGGTGTGTGGAGTGCATCGCAACTTCACTGCCTGAAAGGGGTCACGACAAGCTCCTGAAGTTCAGAGCCACAAAGTGCCTAGCAGCACCATGGCTCAGGATGCCCTGTGAAGATGGGTGGTCAGATGTATGGTTACTCTCCAGTCACCCTGAGTTCTCCTAGGCATTCCCCCTTGTCAGTGTGTTTAGAATTACATCCTGAGCTTATCTAGCTGGACGGGGGTAGACAGAAAATGGACCTTTCGCACTGTTCGCAAAGGCTTACATCTTCAGTAGCTGCACCCTCCCTAAATAGGGTTGTGTCTTCAGCTCACAAAAGTTTGCCAAAGGCTAATGCGGCTTCAGGTTTTCCCTCTTGTTTGTGGTGGTTGCTTAGGAAGGGAGCAAATCTATCCCTGAAGCACCCACACCTGGTTGATGGCAAGCTTGCTCACTTCTCCCTTGGACATTCTCCCACCCACCCAACACACTTTCTTTGCTTAAGAGAGCGCATTTTTCCTGCATACTCAGCTGTTCTCCATCCCCTGAGGATGGCCAAATGGCCACCCTTGGATTATCCACTTTCCTTATACAGGAAATCATACAGACGGTCTTGTGACCTCGGCCTGTGTTCCTGGAGGTGCGCCCATCTAACCATTCCTTGGACCAGCTTCCTAAGTTGTTGGCCGTGCTGAGCCTCTCACAGGAGGTCCCTTCTAGCACTTGATCCAAACCTTACATCTTGCTTGCTTAAAACCATCAGTTCGCCTTATTCACAGTGGATCATCTAAACCAGCCCTCCAGGTTGAACACATCTGGAAGGAGTGGGACGAGGGAAGGCTAGTTTGAAAATGGTCCTTTCTCTGCCTTCTTAATCAAATAAGTTTTAATAGAAAAACTTCAGGATAGTCCTTTTGCTTTAGTTTGCTCTCCCCCACATACTAAAAACATGCAGTTTCTGAAGACTTGACTTACAAAAATGTTTTTGTGGGATGAATGGAAGGAGGAGGCAATCAACAGTATTGCAGAAATAGAAGCCGGTGAGATAGCTCACAAGGTTGTTGGGAGAACATCATGGGGACAGTTCCATGACTGTCTCTAAATGGGTGGGATTTCACTGTGATAGATAAGTCCTGAAGCAGCTTAGGTCCAGGCTGGAGGTATGGTTACGAGATGCAGTTTGGATGGAAGGTGGGGGCTGAGCTTTTCAGAGGCTGTTTTTTGATGTGCTGGCCTTTCCCTGTGCAATTTGTGGATAAATTTGGATGGCCTGATTTCCTTGCAGAGAACTCATTTCATCCTATGATGGAAGGCAAACCCCAGCCCTTCAGGTACCCCAGGGAACAAGCATTCTTTGGGCAGAGAAAAGGGATAGCTTCAAACTTTCTCCCTTTGACCGGTTGCTTTTTAAGACAGAGCACATCTTCATACTGCGGAGCTAAAGTCCATGCTCAGCCGGTCTCGCCAATGCCAAAAAAAGCATATACCCAACTAAAACGCCTCTTAATTAGGATCGCAATCCTATGCATCCTTCCAAAGCAAGTGCGACTGAGCTCAGGGGACTCCTCACGTCACCGCGCGCGCGAGGTCTGACCGGGCCCAATTCACACACACGTGAACAGGTGAGGGGCGCGCGATTGCGGTGGCACGCTGTTCTGGGGCACGTGAGAACGCTCCGGGCGCGGGAAAGCCCCGTTCTCCAGCCTGAAGCGCGCCTGCCTCCAACGCCGGCGCTCCCTGGGGGCCGCGATCGCAGGCGCGCTGCGTGTGAGATCGATCTCGAGAAACCAAGTGCGCTGTCCTCGCCGGAGAAGAATTACGCGCAGGGGTTGTTGCGCAGGGGGCGGGAGGAGGGCGGGCTGTTGGGGGCTCAAAAGCACGGCCGGGGCAAGAGCCGCGGCGGCGACGGGCAGCCGGCTCCGCGGCCCTCAGGGCAGGTGCGTGTCCGCGGCGCCGTCCTGCAGCCACGGCGCGAACTGCGCGCGCCACCTTAACGCGCCGGAGCGAGCGGGCGCGCTCCACCCATTCCACTCCGATTGCAGGCGCGGCGCGGGCTGGCCGTGCGGGGGGCGGCGCGGGGCAGGCGGGGGTGGAGTGGCCTGGACTGCGTGACGGCAAGGCCCCGGGGACGGCGCCAGTCGAGGGCGCGGGGATCGGGGCGTGCGCTTGCCCGCGGGGCTCGCTCCGGAGACGGTAAGCGCGGCGCCCCGGGGCGGGAAGGGATGCGAAGGCGGCGCCCGCGGGGCAGGCTGGGCGCGGAGGGGAGTGCCGGAGATGGGGCGGGGGGTTCGAGCGGGGCACGAGAAGGAAGGGAGGCGAGGGAAGGACGGCGGGCGGCTGTGCATCCAGCCGCTTGTCTTGGGACGGGGGCAGAGAAAGAGAAAGCACCGCGTTGTGCGACGCCGAGAACCGAAGCAGTTCTCCGGCAGGGTTTGCCAGCGTGAGACCTAGTTTTTGCAGGGGAAAAATCGTGCTTGAAGAGGTGCTTGGGTAGGATGGCCAGGAACGGGAGAACGCGGCTTTCCCTGCCGCGGATAAGCGCACTAGTCTGACGCTTTGAGCAGCTCCTCTTGACGTGCCGGGGTCAGGAAAAGTGGTTTGCGCCCCGGTTCTCTTCCCCGGGAGCAAAACGCGGCCAGCGCTCTTGCAGCTGCTCTTCACCACGCGGGCGAGCCTTTCCCACGTGCTTTTGTGGTCAAGTCAGGACAAGCACGTGAAGGTCGTGCAAGTCCCGATCTGTCGTGGACCTGCCTGAATGCAGGTCCCTTCAGCATTCATGCCGGCTCGGTTTTTCATTCATGCCTGGCTCGGTTTTTCCGCGTGTCCGATGGGAATAGGAGCTTACAGGAGATCTTATAGGTGTGGCAACCGCGTGCAGTAGATTGCAAGAATTACCGAATACCTTCGGGCCAGTATTCTTTCTGGAGCACCACGCAGAACTTCCAGACGCAATTCAGAAATAACTAAATGGATGTTAGGAGTCTGGGCCAGCACTGAAAACGTTTGATCTGCAAAATAGGTTCTCTCTCATTGAGGCCGAAGTCCCTGCACGCTTGCTTGAGAGTAAACCACGTTACGTCTCAGTGAACAGGCACAAGATTGAAAGCCTAAAGTGCGCGGTACGTGGGCTTGTGTGCTTGGATCGGGATCTCTCTCTGCCGGCTGAAGCATCAGCGTAATTTGCCCTTTCTTTGCGTCTTCCTTCCCTCTGTTTTCTGTGACCTTTCTGCACCGCATTGCTGACTGACTTATTTCTCCTGCCTCTTGATAAAACCACGACATAATCTAAATTTAATGTTTTCATTCTTACCATAAGAAATGTTCTGCTTGTATTTTAGGATACCGTTCCAAATGGATTGCAGTTACGTAAGGAGCAATGGGGCTAATGTGTAAGGCCTTAGACTTGTTTGGTGCAGGAGTTTAAGGTCTTAGAAGCCAGGCCATCTGTAATGAGATATAGGTGCATTTCTTTCATTTTGATTTAATTCATTTTTAAAAATTTCACACTTCTTCCAAGGATCTCAGGGCTGTGTATGTGGTTCCTGCCATTACTCATTTTATTCTCACAACAACCCTGTGAGAGTTATGCTGAGCTTTATGGCTTCCCTGATGCTAGTCAGAAACTGCAGCTGTGTGCTCTCCAGATGTTTTGGACAACTGCCACAATTTCTGCCCATTGGCTATGCTGACCGGGACTTCTGGAAGTTGTAGTCCAACACATCTAGACAACACCCATTTGTTAACGCCTGTTTTAAATTGTACCACAATCTCATTCATATCACCTTTAAGCTTCTATGAATTGTGTTTCTGCAGGATGTCAATGTTGTTATGTGCTGTAAGTCATCTTTGACCTAATGGCAACCCAATGAATGAAAGCCCTCCAGCTGTCCTATCTGTGGGAACTCCATTCAGGTCTTCCAAAATCCACCACTTTGCTTGTGTGCAAGACTAATGCAACACACCTATGGCTGCTTCATTCATTTGCCTCTGCTTTCTTGGGGGCTGGAATACACATCAAATGTTTCCAGTTTGTGGGACATTGTTTTATTTTCTGTATTTGTTGACACCTTTTCGTTACAATTTGGACTCATTCATTTTCTGCAGCTTGGAACAGTTCTATGGGCATCCTTTCTACTCCAGGTCCTTTATTCTTTGCAATATTCTCTTTATTTTCTCCTGGAGGGATAGTATGTTCCCTTGTTTGTCTTTTAGCATTCCTAACCTATGTAGGTTTGAATTTCCCCTTGATTTCTTCGATTTTCTGGAAGAGGTCTCATTTCCCCCCTTTCGTTGCTCTCTTCTGTTTCTTTGCACTGATCATAGTAATAGTTCATTTTGTCTCTACATTATAGTTGCTGAAAAATTGCATTCAGGATTCTGACCCTATTTCTGTCACTTTTAATTTTTGCTTCTCACCTGTCTTTGTAACTGTGAATGTTTACTTATTGTTGCTAGAGGAATTGTCTTTTGGCATTTTTCTCTAATAATGTCCCTGGCTTGAATGAGCAGTGCAAATGTTTGAAATTTGAGCTGATGGTCACTACTGCAGTCTGTTCCTGGTCTTGTTTCAGCAGCAAGAATACAGCTTCTCCACCTTTCGCTTCCAATTACACAATCTATTTGATTCTTATATTAGTCAATTGGTGAAGTCCATTTATACAGTCATCTGAGTAGTTGCTTGAAGTATATGTTTGCCATGAACAGGTTGTTGGCTCCATAAAATTCTGCAAGTTATTCTCTTGCTTCATTTCTTACTCCCTGGCCAATATTATCTACAACATTGAATTCCACTTTGTTTCCTGTTTTTGCATTCCAGTCACCTAGGATTATTAGCATGTCTTGTTTTGATGTGTTATCAGGTTTCTCTCGAACATAAAAGTTTTAGATTTCTTCTTCTTCAACATTGGTTGTTGGAGCATAAGCTTGAATGGTGGTTATGTTGACACAAGCTTACTTCATCTATAGCAGTGCCGCCTTAGGGAACACAGCAGTGGGTTGTGGCTATGAGTTTTGGAGGTTGTAAGAAAAGCACTGGATAGGGTGAAAGAGGAGTCGTGGACACTGCTAGGCTCATTTTGCACCCACCCAGTGTCCCCAGTGACATCGATGGGGGAGGTCTCTTCCTAAGCCGAATTGCCATGCAGAAAGAAGAGCTGGAGTGGAGCATGGTGCATCGCTAAGGGTGGCAGGGTGTGCTTTCTTCCTTTGTAATCACCCAGGAAATTTCCCCTACTCTCCCATGGCATGGCAGTTAAACATAGGCAAAACCTTCCACTGACGTCTCCCCGCTGCCCCAGTCAAGTTTAATTGCCACACCTGGGAGAGTTGAAGGGTGCATTGCAGACAGTGGGGATGTGGCAGGGATAGGGGTGTGAACCCCTTCCTCTCCAGCTGCAAGTGTCCTTGAACTATTGTTCTCCTAGATCAGTGATGTGACCAAGAGGAAGGTCAAGATCTCTTCTTGCTGACACCATTCTAGGACATGGAATCATAGAATAGGAGAGTTGGAAGGGTCCGTGAAGGCCATTGGGTCCAGCCCCTGCTGTTGCAGGACAGCAAGTCACACCATCCCACTCAGATAGTCAAGTCAAGTTGTGACAACCCAGGATCAGGCTAGATATCGGGAAGAGCTTCCTCACTGTCAGAGCAATATGACAGTGGAGCCAGCTGCCTAGAGAGGTGGTGGACTCTCTCACACTAGAGACATTCAAACAGAAACTAGACACCATCTGAGTGGGATGGTGTGACTTAGTCTCCTGCAACAGCAGTGGGTTGGACCCAATGGCCTTCATGGCCACTTCTGTGATTCTATGTGTCACTTAGCCTGAGAGAGGCAAAAACCAAACCAGAACAAGAACCATCCCCCGCTCTGCCCCAGACCTCTGCTGAATGGATATGGGGCCACAGGAAAGCGGTGTGGGGCCAGGGCTTGGTAGGGCCGGGGCTAACCTAGCCCATTGTGCAATGGAACAGAAGACCTGGGAATCTGTGTGGTGCTCTGCCTTGAGAAGCCCAACCACATGGAAGAGATGTTGGTTTGGGGCCAGAAGGATTGTGGAGAAGACTGAAGTTTGGGCTGATCCAGTGAGGCCTGTTCTTGCATTGCACCTGCCAGGCCCTGTCACTGGGCTGTAAAAGAGTGAACAGCTCTGGGCCAGCGAGCCACATGGTTCTAAGGGAATTCTGTTTGGCAGTGAGAATCCTGTCGAAGCATTAGTCAGCAGCGGCTTGTGTTCACCTGCGGGTGCTCACCTGGAGGGCAGTGTCTAGTAGAAGTGAGAACGGACAGGTAACATTTGCATTCAGAGATCTGAAGGAAGTGTCAGCCTGTGCTCCATTCCTCTCAGCCCATCCTTGACCTGAGATGAGACATGTCACGTAGGAAGTGGGGCTAGGCACCAGGGATGGGGAAAAGAGGGACCTTACAGAGGTATCTGGATTGGAACTCCCACCATCCCTCACCATTGGCCATGGCAGCTGGAGGATGAAATGCAAGAACCTCAGGAGGACCACCCTTGGGGTACAGCTTGGAAAAGGGTGTTTCTTTCGTGCCACTCTCAACTCTCTTAGGGCAGAATGGGGTGTTATGATGGAAATGTGGCTGGTACCATGTGCAGACTGGCGTTGTCTTACCTCTCCCAGCATCTCCCAACTAGCCGTGCTGATTGAGGCATGCTGGGAATTCTAGGACTTCTCATTCTGTCCAAACATGCATAGGATTGGTCCCTTATCAGTTATTGCCCCTTCTCAGGGCCCCCTGGGAATTGTTCTTTGATGGGAGTAAGACCTTTTTACTGCATTAAGCAATTTCTTTATGTCCTGGTTTACTTGTGTGGATGAGAGCCGGAAATCACACAAGCTAGTTTGTCCCAGTGAATAAACTTGCTTAATCACAGGCATACTGGTATGGGTTTATTGCCCGGCAATCCTCTCTTTTAAGGAGTATTATGACTCTCTTCCTTTTTTGTGGTTTTGGAAAGGGGGTTGGGTCAGGTACTTGACTCAGCATTTTTCGCCACTGCTTTGAAATAGTTTCTTGTGAAATACAGAGCAGCATTCCGTTCTTACCAAATTTCCTGTTGTGAAAATTATGTGTGTATGAGAGAAAAGCTCCTCGCGACATAGCTTTTGATAAAGGTGCCTAACAGCACCGATTATGAATTCAATTCTATAAATATTTAGAAAGAAGCAAGTTTTGCAATGCTCACCATGCCAGCTTGTAAGATTTTTTTTCTGTTTGAATCCTAAAAGATTGCAGTTTATGGACTTCTCTGCGTGGGAGCAGGAGAGTTCCTTATTCCTTATTCCATTGTTGATAGAGGAAAAATGTGTCCCTTATTCAGTTTCTCTCCCTTGGGGTTTGCATTTCTCTGCCTTTCTATATTTTCTATTCACCAAGCACAGGTAGCCATACAGTATAACTGCAATATAATAGATTTTCAACAATACCAGAGGTTTTTGTTCCAGCTTGTTGTGATTTGCAATTCAATACCAGATTTTGCTTTCTCTAAATGCACACAAACTTTTGTGAAGGAGGGACCACAAGAGTAGGATAAATGCATCATATAGAAAAGCCCTAAAGAATATTTTCTTAAAATTTCACCTCCCTGATCCAAATAGTTATGCCCCCTAGAACTGTTTTTAAGGCTGTTTCCAACTAGACTGTCACTGCCATAGAATATTATGGGTATCCAGATGTCATTTTTCATTTCTTTCCGTTCCTTTTTTTTTTTTTGCATCTTTTCTTCCATATTGTTTCCCTATCGCAGAAAATTTTGTAAAGGAGGAGAATCTGGACTTCACAGGTTGTTTTTGTGAGGATAAAATGGAGAGAAGGAGAATTTTGTAAGCTGCTTGGGTTCCTTGCAAGAGGAAGAAAAGTGGGGTATAAATGTAACAACAACAGCTACAAGAAGAAGGCTGGAAGATCAAGCTGTACCTGGTTTGATCTTTTATTTATTTAATTTATATCCCACCTTTCCTTCTGTTCAAGGAAGTCAAGTCAGCTCACATCATTCTCCTCCTCTCAGTCTTATCCTCAAAACAGCTCTGTAAGTTAGGTTGGACTAAGTCTGTGACTGTACCCAGATCTCCTGAGTCCCAGCCTAGCGCTCTTAGC